TTTTTACCAATGGCTTCTATTCACAGTCTCATTTCATTTCCATGTTAAAGCAGAGTACAGGGCACTGTTAGGTCTATCTATTGTTAACAATTTAGGGACTCTGGTTACAGAAGTCATAAAGAGTTTTCCAGGCTTAAGAAACCAGGTAATACTCCTGGATCCTCCACTGCACATTCTTGGAATTTGTTACTCATTGAAGAAATCTTTCTGTTATTAATGTTAAGCCAATGTGTCTAAAGTAATCACTTGAAGCCTGTAGTACTCCCTGGTTATGCCTCTAAAAGACAGGCTTACTTCTTGCAAGATTTGGGCTATCATGTGTATAGTGAAATCTCTTTATTATTTTCTTAAGACAAGTTTTTATTGTAATCTGATGAGTTTAAAAGAATTGATTCATTAACATTATAAATTCCTGTTTGTTTATTTGTTTGCTGAAATGTTTGCCTGTGTATAGTCTACTAGGATATAAGAGCATAGGAGAAAGACAAAAGATTCTGGTGACTTCAGTGAGACAAGATATTGAAGATCATCTTATCAAGATATTTATAAATTGTCTGCAAAACCCTTGAGTTCTGCAGTCATGGATTAGACCTCCTTAGAGGCATGCCTGAATGCATGGCCATAGTTTTACCATTCTTCTACTATTTAGTTCTTCTCTAAGCTTTTGTTTAATAGCAAAACACATGTACAGTTTAACTGGAGAGTTCTATTTCTACATGTAAGTTTATAAAGACTAGCCTTAGGTCTTCTGTTTCAGCGCGATTAAGTATTACCAGATAACTGAAGCATTTTGTATTAGTTTGGATTTGAGTATATATGCTGGGTTTACAGAATCATGGCTTAGCATATTCCAGTAGACATGACAGAGGGTGTATGTGTGAAAAGGATATAAAAAAATTTGAAAACTCCTGTACTCATATTCAACCTGTTATTAAATAAATCACCCCTTGTGGTATTTTTACATTAGGTTTTCATGGATAGGTGCTGTTCTTTTCTTGGGTTGGGAAGATTTTGTAAAGTTGTGTGGCATAGTTTCTTATATTAAAAAACTGGAAGGAGCAGTACATGGAATGGAAATTTTTATGTTAATAGATGATGAAAATGATAAAATCCTTTGTCCCAGTCTGACTCTGAAACATTTTCACATTTCACTGTCCACATCTCAGAAAGTGTTACCTCTGGGTCATGCCTTTTGTGGGTGGAGTTTCCGAGAGAACACAGCTTGAATCACACATGGGAATAATTACAGATTCTAAAGGGAATTTGCTCTACTGTTTGGTCTATTTGCCAGGGATGCTGCTTATAGCTCACCCTACCTCAGGCTTTGCTCAGTCTCTCAGTTTCTACTAGCTTGCCCATATAGTGGAATGGTCTTATGCTTCAAAGTTCATGACAGAAGCATTTTGTCAATCTGACAACAGGAAGAGGAAAAAAAGACCATTTCCTCGTTTCTTTTAAAGACATTGAAAACTCTAGAATCCACTCACGCATCCAGGAAAATAATCCTGTATATATTTTATACACCATATATGAGATAGCAGCTGATTCATGCTAGCATCAAGACAGGTATGTAACTAGTAACATTTTAAAGCCTGTATCCTATTGCCCATCATCCTTTAGATTAGTCTAAAGGCTTATCTGTTCTGGGTTATTCTTTGCCTTCTGAATTTCAGTACATTAAGCTATAATGTATTGCAAATAATATCTTCTCTAATGATGTGTCAGGCATTGATGATCCCCCATAGAAGGCCTCGCCCATTCTATGGAGCAGAAGAGGGATGGAATGGGAGTCAGTGGGGGGTTATGGGATAACGGGAGGGAGAGGGAACTAGGATTGATATAAAAGATTGTTTTTCATTTAAAGAAAAAAGAATGAATTTTAGTAAAATTCATCCAAGATTGAAAATGAAATGAATGCTCATATTGTAAAATATGAGCAGCTATGATTTTGAAAAAAATGTAAATTCATCAGACCCAAATTTTGTATACTTTAATAGGTAAGTTGGCAAAAAGTTGTTACACAAAGACTATGCTTTTCTCTGAAGATAAATATGGATGGTCAAGCTGCTGGCTGCCATGTGCTTGCCTGAGCATTCATGAAACACATTCTGTTTTATTTCATGTACTATAAGAAAACTGTATGATTGCATTATGAATTCCTCATTACTCAAAACATAATAACACTAAGTGGTAATTAGTGAACCCAAGTAACATGTACCTTTCTTATTTTAGGGCAAATGCAGAAACTTTATTATCACATAGTGAAATGATAATAAATCACTCATTAAAAACATGAACTGGTGCCCACGCTAATCTCTTCCACTTTGTGAAATATATCAGCACATGTTTGAAGGCATGTTAGATAAATAACTACATTAAGATTTAACTATCATCCAACAAGATATATCTGTTTTCTAAGAATTCTGACTGTACATCAGTGAGATGAGAGCACTTTCTCACTTCAGTTTGAAGCAGACAGAACAGTAAACCATACACCCACATCTGTCTATTACCTAATATACTGAAGTAGATGTCCAAAATTGATTCCTATGCATTGTAGACTAGGCATTGTTTCTTGGACGCTGTGGTAGATTCTGTATAGTTTTCCATCTCTTTCCTGTCTTGCATTATGATACTCAATAAGGAAGACTGATTCTGAAAATAAATATTCAGAAATGTATTTAAATAGGGGGTTATTATGTATACCTTTAGCTCATAAGCAGTAATATCATAATTTTAATGTCATTTAACATTCTACTTGTCAGAATTGGAAATGATTTTACTGAATAATTTCTATCATTCATTTACTAAAGCCTCTGTGTGTGTGTGTGTGTGTGTGTGTGTATGTGTGTGTAAAATTTGCAAGGGTCCATTCTCTGTACTTTGTAGGTGCCAAGGATTAGATTATAAATTTGGCAACTAGCATGCTTACACACTGAGCCATCTCACTGCCCCTAATGAATAATTTAATGATGTTCATTTGGGACATTAAATAACATTCTAAAAACAATAACTCTCTATATGTTTTACTTAGATATAATATATATACATATTATTTAGCACACAAACTTCTTTAGCACACAGGATTACCTGTCCCAGTGCTATGATTATGGGTCGCACCAGTAGAAGCACACTTTCGTAAAGAAACCCTCTTAAACATTTCTAAGAATTGTAGGCAGATACGGAGTGTGTCAGGAGCAAAGGTCTCTGGTTTATCACACTGCTATGTAATCATAGTCTCTGTACCTTTTAGTCTCCCAGAAGACAACTGGAAAACGAACAAAAATGGGTGAAGGATCACTTCTGCTACTTATATAGGACTGCTGCTTTCACTCAGATCTTATTTGAAATATTAGAATAGTCAAGATATAGAGAGCAGAATCTTTTCTTCATTGTTACCTGGAAGGAGAGTAAAAGATCACATTTATTTAATCTCTAGATTCTTGCCTCTGCTGAACCAGCTGGGTCCCTCTGCTGTGGCTGCTGCCTCACAGATAGGATTCTTGGTTTAACAGCAGGTGCTCCAGCATGATATAGTCTCCTTACAAGTTCTTTGGTTGTTTGAAAGACAATGTTTCAAAAAAAGCCTCAGACTTTGACATTATATGAAGGGAGTGGGGCTAAGTGTAAGGGGAAGCCCCAGGGGTTACAGAGGGAGTAAAGTTGCCAAGAAAGATTCTGTGCAATTTGTACTCCTTCATCTTTCTGAAATATGGCTGTATATAGAGTGTTGTCAAAATGTCCTCTCTGGGCCTCATCTTTTCTCAGCTCTATTGACATCTGTTTCTTTTGGCCATGGGCATTTTGATGTGAAACAAAACTGTTATGAGGTACAAACCACAGGAGACAGCACACTAAGAAAGGTGAAAGATCATCATAAAACTGTCACTGAAACACAGCTTCCACTTTGGATATTGAGTAAAAAGCGACACACTATTAATTTTGTTCCAGCTGGATCCAGTGATTCTGTAAATTATTTTCTTCCAGTGTTACATAATAACCACATATATATGGTATCACAAATTAAATTGATTGTGTGATGTACATATTAGCAATAATACCTTCTTTAAAAGAATTTATATGAATCCCTACATAAGAAAAAAGAAATGGTACTACAGTTGGTTTTGTAAAAGAGTCTTAAAGAATAGGAAACAGAAAGCCTAATTGCAAATCTATATACTTATAAAATATATATTTGTGTAATCCTCAAATTCCTTAGCATATATTCTATCAAATATCATTAGTGACAAAATAATTAACCATATACACTTTTAAAACTTTATTGAATATTTTCACAAACTTAAACACTAGAAAAGAAAAAGATTTATTTTTAATACTTACAATTACATTAAATAAAAATACTTGTATTAATTAATTTTTTGTTCCTATGTTTTCTTGTTTTGACAGGTGGATTACAAATGATTTGAAGTATTGATTCTTTCTGAGCCTCACCAGACTATTGCTTGCAAAACTGATTGCCATTTGTTCATGAATAAGGTATGTGGCCATTGCTATAGTTTAGAAGAAAGGGAACATTAGCCCAGCCACATTTGGTTTGCAGGAAAATTCCTGACAAAGCATTTATAGTTCTGTTTAGGTGGAGAAGACAGATAGGGAGCAAGAGAGTAAAGGAGCACCCCACACTTTGATAATGAGTTAAGAATAAGAAAGCATATATATGGTTCTACTTAGATAAGATTATAATATGCTAGTCGCTCAGGGAGGAAAATTCAAAACAGAAGAATTAAAAGAGGAAAAAGTTGTCTTTCTGGTATTTTCTGCTTCTGGCTGGTTTGTAGAAACAACTTGAGGGAGAAAGACATAGAGAACTAGCTTGATGAGCCAAACAAAAAACATTTCTTTATTATTAGCTGGGAAATATCATCTGTTTCAGTGGCATGTTTTCTTTGTACTTTGATCTTTTGTAGTGATATTAAGCTTCTGTTTTATGACTTCTTTCTAATGGCAGAAACAAGCCACATAAAGAAACACTGTAATCATACCTGGAACGTGGTAAGAGACAAGTGCTACAGGTTGATTCTTCTCCTGCACAAAGAAAATGGGCTGTGATCGGAACTGTGGGCTCATTGCTGGAGCTGTAATTGGTGCAGTCCTGGCTCTGTTTGGGGGTATTCTCATGCCAGTTGGAGACATGCTTATTGAGAAGACAATCAAAAAGGTAAGGCAACAGAGAAAACCTACTGTGCATTTATTTATTCCATCATGTCTCTTGTGGTTGTTGCTCTAGATGCTTGCTTTCTGTTACCTGGTAACTTTGTGCTTCGAAGGGACTGTGAATTACTGCAGCCCCATATGGTGATGTGAGCCTGGGTGAAGCAACACAGTCTAATGCAAAATGAACCCACAGATACTCTTAGGAGTGTAATATAAACTAGACATGAATCTTAAATAGATCAAATTTTATAAAAATTCAGATTATAGTTATGTAGTTGAGTAAAACTAATTATACTAATTATCTTAAAGTTTGGAAAGTACACTGACATGCTTTTGAATAGTAATATTGTATTTTATGAGATTTTTTATAAAAGGAATTTCATTCACATTAACAATGAGAAAATAGCATATATCTATGTGGGTGTACATGTGAAAAAGTGTTATTATTGAATGAGCACCTCTGGAAAATGCCTCTTCGAAATAGGTGTAATAGTCATCACTAATACATAGTCAGTGTTCTCTCAGCTTAGGATTTGCCTCTCTCTAAATTTAGGGGAAAATGTAATATAGGACACATCTTGGCACATATCAATAAATTGGAGCTTTAACACAAATTGGAGTGATTTACGATAGTGGATATGCTCACAATCATCTCTCACCCTAGTTCATTTTAATTAGCTTCACATTCAAAGAAATTTTAATGAATTGAAGATACATTGTGGAAAAGCCTGTCTACTGTTGCCCTCTGGGATAGCTGGGAAATTCAAGTGGTTTCAACAGTTTGGAAATGGAGGTCACAAATGAAATAAAGCAGTCCAGAATAATGTGCAGGCTGAGGAAAGGACTGTTGTGAACGATACAGTTCCTGCCCTGACCAGAGGCACCCATGTTCAGTTAAGAAATTATCAACTAATGGTTGCCAAGTGCTATAGACAGGACTACTGGCCTCAGCTCCCAGATGGGTTTTGATTCTAGCTACCTAGACAGACAGTAACTGTACTGCAATGAGGAGAGCCAGAGAAATGGATTAGGCATATTAATTTGTACTCGAATTTCCATTATTGACAAGGACATCAGACTCTCATCCATTCTTTAATTTTTGGCAATGTGGCATTCTGTGAGATATATGCAAATGCCATTTGCATTTACTAAAACATTGCCTTAATGGGATTAATATAAACATTAACTTCAAATATAGTTATTCAGAAGTAGAAATTATTACTTTGTGATTTTGATTTCTTTCATTACAAATGTTAAATCTTCTTTAAGTGGAAAGATACTTTCTCACTGAGCTATTTTACTGCTATTTTACTATGTATTAAAGGTAAGAATTCCTATGCATACATACAAACATACTATGTTGTTTGATAAATACATAATCATCTTTTACATTACATTTCTCCAACCCTTTACAGTTAATGAAAAACTATGTTGTATTGTACAATATAACTATCAAAATATGCATGCTATTTACACATTACATGTAATCTTTTCATTGATGCATAGCCCCTTCAATGGGTTTTCCAATTTCCCTTCTTAGCATTATTGATATAGAATTACAGAGAAGGTTGTGGATGGGGAAGGGGAGGCTTGCTTAACAGTGGAAGAAGTAACAGCCATTGTTCCAGCACTTTTTGTTTTGTCACTTGTGGTTTCCACCTGGATCATCACAGAGCATTATCTTTGTTAATATTGTCTTCTGAACAAATAGTCACACTCTTCCAGGATACAGCTTTATAGACTAACATGAAAAATGCAGAGGGCTTCTCAGTTTACCTTTTTTTTATGTAACAACATTTGTTCATCTAAATTTTCCTGAGGGGTTTGTGAATGCTAATATCATTTTATATTAAATTTGAATATATTTCACTGAAGTCATAATGAGAACTCATAAGAGTTTTATCTAATTTGTAAAATGAATAATTGGGAGGAAAATTATTTTCTCAATAAGTGTAAGATATCAGAAAATATGTGTATCTTGTAGAATAAAATGGTCAAACTTGTTAGAACATAGGATTGAATGTTCTATAATGTGAAAAATAAATGTTATGTAGGAAGAAAAATAGATTATTCATGAAAATTCAGGAAGACACGGTAAAATTTTGTTTGTTTTGAAGAAGTATATAATTTGAGAAGACCATAAAGAACTAACTGACAGCAAGGGAAAGGCTACAGGATGCAAGCAACTAAATGTAGTGAGGAAGGAAAGGCTCAAGAAAGAAAGAAATGATAGAAAGATTGTAAAATCAGGTAGTAGATGATTCCAAGGAAATAGCATCTTCAGACACAACAGGGCAAAGGCACATATGAATTCACAAAGACTATGACAACACAAGAAGACCCTCAAGAGTTCAAACTTCACAAAACCTTCAGCCCAGGAAACCTTCAGACAAGAGAAGTAGACACAAAGTCCCACCCCTAATGAAAAAGGCTACTTATAATTGATGTCTGTTAGGGAAGAAAATAAAGACTACTTTCCTCCAATGGAGGTTAATGAGTATTTAAACTACACATCAGGATAGGTCTCATGACAAGGAGCTGGGCAACACAAAATGAACTTCATGTTTCACTGTGCACTTTTTCTTTGGTTTGATTTGGTTTAGTTTTTTTGTTTTGTTTTGTTTTGTTTGATTTAGTGATTTTATTTTGTTTCTTTGTTTTAATTTTCACACACACACACACACACACACACACACACACACACACACACACACAGAGAAAGAGAGACAGAGAGAGAGAAAGAATAGAGATAGAGAATAAAGTTGGGTGGATAGGGTGGTGGATAGGAAGGTAGGATTTGGGACGAGTTGTATGGGGGAAAGGAAAATGATCCAAATTAATTATATAATATTAAAATAGAGAGAACTTGACAAGATTATTAGGATAATAAGAAAGATGGGTATAAAGCAATGAGTACTTAGATAGGAGTTTTAAACACTATGAAGAAGACTAAGTAATTGCTGATTTAAAAAGGGTTGCTATATTGTTTTCAATAAGATATAAGGAACACACATTCAAAGTGGTAATATTCAGAGCTTCCCACATAAAAATTGTAATTAAACATGTTTATAAATAAACATGTAATAATATTTGATCCATTGTGTAATGTAAAAATATACAGTCAACATTCCACCAATAGGAAAAATTTGAGACTAAATGGTATAACCTTGAATACTATGATCCTAAAATGGATGAGTTGGGAACTAACGACAGGAAATCTGCAAAAGAATTAGCATTGTGGGATAGCACCTTTATAGAAGAAAGGTTATAATTATGTTTGTAGGACATCTTTGTTTACAGGGCCATTATATAGCAAAAGGAAAAAACGACAGAGCTTTAGAAAAACTGATGGATTCCTGGATGAATTAGTGTATATATAGAGAGAGACTAAAATATGGGAGAGAGGACTAAATGAGACATACCATAAGATATCTGGCTAGCTTGCTGATATACCCAAAGAAGTGAAAGACACAGAAGTTTTGTGAGTGGCTTGATGTTAACATCAGTCTGTATTCAAAGGTCAGAGTTCAGATAGATTTGATGATTGCTGGGAGACCAAAGATAAAGCTAAACAAACAAGCTTCCTGCTGGGGGTTAAATATCCAGACTAGTAGGGTTGCTTCCTACAGATTTGTGCATAGTCAGAGGCAAGGATAAACAGGAAAGGAAAAAATAATATAGGTTTTTGTGAAGAAACTGGAAGGGAGAGTACAACTTCTTAGAAGTTAGGAGGAAAACAGATATAAAGGGAAGATGAAATGAGTTGTTTCCTGGCTGATGAATATTAAATAAGCAGTGGTTTGTGATTGTAAAGACCGCTCAGGTAGTGATATTTTAACCAAGCAGATGTGAAGACATGAGCTCAATGCCCAGAACTCTGTAAAATGTCTGCCATGATAGCTTGTACTTGTAATCTCAACAATGGAAACACAGAGACAGATGTCTGAGAACTTTTGGCCAGCCAGCCTTCCCTGAGGTCCATGTCAATGAGTAATCTTATGTAAAATAGGACTGTGAAGTGGGGGAACCCTGAAGAATAATAATTGAGATTGATGTCAGGATACCACACACAAGGGTATACTGTTCTGAAATGAATGATAAATGTGTAGTTTTTTACAAAATGAAATGGGGCAATATAGAACCAGGGTCAAGAAGGAGGAAGCATAAAATGGAGGAGAGAATGGATGGGTTCCACCAGAAGGTGAAATAACAGTTTACACTTCACACTACTTTGTCTGTGCATGTGGAGACTAAACATCTCACACCAGAATCTGAATGGCATATAAGGTGAAACTTGACTTATGTCATATTATGCCAATTTTAGTCATTTGTAGAAGCTGCTGGGCTATGAGGACAATGGTTAGCATGGGTAAAACCAGTGAGCAGAATGGCTATCATGGATAATACCAGAGATAAGTCGTGAGCCCAAGAACAAAATGAACATTTCTAAAAGATTTTTTCTTTTAGTTTATGACACTATTTACAAAATTATACTGATGGGGCTGTGAGGTAGCTCAGTGTGTTAAGGCAAATGTCAGCAAACCTGAAGTCCTAAATTCAGTGCCCATGAAGGATAAGGAGATCTGGCATTTCCAAGTTATCCACTAACACCACCGGCACACCAACACACACACACACACACACACACACACACACACACACACACCCGCGCGCGGCCCCCCCGCATGCACACATAGAAACACAGACACACACATGAACCTTAGCCTAAATAAACATAATTTTTAAAAGATTCAGATGACTATTTTTACTGCACCACAAAATTACAATCTCTGTTATGTATCTTGCCTTTCACCCAGGAACATTCAAAGTGATTATATTTTTCAATCATAGGAATTTGAATACTGATCTCTTTTTTTATTGTTGAAATTCATTTAATAATAGAAAAGTCAGAAATCTATTGCTTAGATAGGGAAGTATTATGTTGAAGATTCAAAATATTTCTCATTTATAAAGCGTAGAGTTATGGATTATGACACTCGGTCTAAAAGATGGCAGCATGCCACTCTCATTTGCAATGGTTTAAAGCAGTCCAAATAAACATAGATATATTTTTGATTCTTATTTCCAAGGTATATTTTCTAGAGACCACATTTCTTTTGTAGATAAAACTATAGTCTTCATAGGTCTATATGAGACCAACATGTTCAGACTTGCTTGCCAGATAGCATAGAATATCAGGAGCTGCCAGGAATGTGCTGTTGGTCAAATAGCTGCACAGAGTCAAAGCTCTATTCTATTTACAAGTGATCATTTGATATTTATAATTGTTAGTGGCCCCTGACAAAATGTTTGGTAGCTTTTATAGTATAGGTTACTATAAATAATCATTACTTTATGATATACAAAGATAGAATTAAAGTTTATTTTGCCATATTAAAAGATTAATATCCAGTGATTATACAGTTCAGTCATGGTATTGTTAATTTTAAGCATTCTCAGAAAAAAAAATGTTCCTTATGTACCTTCAAAAATGATGTCATATTTAACAGGTGAAACCATTATTTGTTAAAAATGACAAACTTTGGACAAGAGTCTATATTTGGAGAATACATTGTTGTAGTATTTCTGGAAATCCTAAAATAATTCATAATTTTTCATAGTACTTAAAAGCACAATAAAAGTATCTTTATCCACTAAATATGTACAATTAATTTTTCTCTATAATGACATGAGATTAAGGAACAATCATATAACTAAGTTAAAATAACAACATGCATACCCCATATACTTCCATATTTCCAAATAGGTATATAACAAATACCTCATAAATCAATGATTTAGAAACAGAGTTTAACCCATGTGACTGTCTTTTCATGTACTTGACTTCTCAACTGAGATGAAAATCTCTCATTTTAGGTTCCTACATAAATCCTGAAAGTATAGTTTTTAAACTATTTGTACTTACCAAAACTACCACCAATAACTTATTAAATTCTCTGAACAAAGCCATGTGAAATTTGCTTATGGGCATGGAGGTCAATATGAAGAAGGCATTTAGAAGGACACAAGTCCATTCTCAAAACAAATATAGGTGTTAGTGCCTAAGACTTCTACAGCCATGGGCATTTGACCATATTTCCTGTAACAAAAAAGAATTCCCTCCTGTTGAGTGAAGATTTAAGTCTATGTAGAAAGAGGCTGGCCATTCCAACTGTAGTCATAGTACTTCTGAACACACATACTGTCCTACTTAAACCATTACAGGCTCAATTGTAAGTGTGGTGAGGAAGATACAAGTCTACCTTTTAAGGAAGTGCTTAATGCAGAAGAAAGAAAAATAACAACTGATTAAGTAACAGAAAAAGAAATGTCATGTAATATTGTAAGTTCCCATAATATGACTGTAGTTGACAGCTAATACCTGAACAAAGCAGTGTGGGAAGAAAATCATGGTAGAGTTTTTACTCAACATAAAGAGTCTGATTCTAAATACTAACAGTGAGCACTTGCTGAGTGGTTTCTGTGTGTTCACACTGTTTGAACTCATATTTTTAGTTGCTATAATGCATGAGGTAAAGACAAACAATATTAAAATGTCATCAATATGTTTTGCCTCTGAATGTTCTAAATTGATATGGCCCAAAATATCTAATCTTTACATTACATGGAAACTAAGAAATAAATAAATTAAATAATATGTCCAAATCATGCATTTATAGTATGTAGTTTCACTGTATACTGAATATTCTATACTTGACTCTAGGTTTTCATGTGGTCTTTGGTGAATAAGGCAATTTTTAAAATTTTTTTTTGCTCCCCCTACTCCAATACAAAAAATACAAGTGTGCCTTAATTATTACTAGCTTTGACAGTTATGTGAATGAGACATGTTCACTCTTGGATTTGCCATTACATTAAAAGAGAACATTCACCTGCATAACTGTGAAAGTTAGTGTATACATCTCTGTCTTTGAATGATAGCTCCTTTTCCATCCCAACCTCAACCATCTAAAGGCTTCTCAGTTCAAAGAACAGAGCAATGTGTATGGTCAGAAACTATTTCTAATTCCCCAGGAGTATACTGACTTATCTTCACTAAGGACTGAAATTTTTACTTTGAGTGATACAAGATAAATAATGCCTATTGTCTTGGGCCTTAAAATTTTTATGACCCATAGATGCTTGTGTGTGTGTGTCCATGTTTGGGGTGGGGAGGGTTGTTCTTCTTTCTTAGTCTTGTGACACAGTTAAGTCAATACAGATTTCAGCTTTAACATTCACAAACACCTTTATCTTAAGAAAAGTGGATTTTCTTAGCTTTGGAACTTTGCCCTAATACTGGGCTAGTATGGAAGTAAACATTCTGGCAGCATATCTTTTTTCAAGGATACTTCAGAGAAAAGCGATAGAAATCTGAATGTTACATGAGCAGCTTTTGTTCCGGTGCACGTGGGTTACACCACTAGAGAATTTTCAAACACATCCTAGCCTGCTGCCCCCTTCACCAAGGACTTCCATCATCCTCTGCATTAAGCAATACAATTCCCAAAAACATGAAACTTCATTTCACATTTACCAACTAAGAACTTAGGGTGACTAGGGTGTATGTGAGACAAGAAATTCAGTAACAATATGAAGCAACAGAGGACTAGTAGTGTAAGGGTCAACGAAACAGATTTCATTAACTACAATGCTACTGCTTGCTTGGGCTGCACTTACAACAGCCAACGGCTTTCTTAGAGACTCTGTGCTCAACCTAAAAAATCAGGCTACTGCTTCTTGCCCTTTCCTGACCCTATCATTCAGTGAATTGGTATTTCCAGGTGAAGAAAAGTGGGCTATGTTATTCCTTCTCTTCTCCTTAAACACTGTTGGCACTGGGCATTCTTCCCAAATTACTTAATTGGAAGTTCTACAAGGTACAACCTCTCTTTGTTTCTACTGATTACTATGACTTCACAGATTTCCTGTTCAGAGAGTGAAAGTACTGGAAAGCAGCTGGGCAGGTATCTATGAAATGGACCCTAAGGGGTTTTGTGGCTTTCTATTTGGTTCCAAAACTCCAAACAGGAGCAGGAGGTAGTCCTTCATAGAAGGTGTTTCAGTTCTGTTGCATTAAATTTTCCTTCTTGTGTATTTTCACCACAATTGTTACACATGATCTCTAACACCACTCAGGACACTGACAGACCAAATACACACACACACACACACACACACACACCATACCTTTCTTAATTTTGCTCTTTTCATTGAAAATTAGTAGTATGATGACAAGTTAAGCAGTTTATTTTTGGAAACATAGAATCAGGCATTCAAGAAAACATCCTGTGATATATAGAGGTCCTTTTATAATGGGATTCCAAGTAGGAAAATTCTTCATTTACTAAAGGTTAGTCACAATCCCTTGACTTGCCTAACTTTGGAAGATGAAGGTTTTGTTGTTGCTGCTGTTTCAAGCTCCTAAAGAAACTTAAGTTTTCTCTCAGCTTATTTCTTTTGCCTTACCAACAAAACTTCTCAGAGTGAGACAATTACAGTGGGCAAAAACATCTTTTGTGTGATAACTTTTAGAATTAGCTGACTTACTGTTTTGTCAACTAAGAAAGGTTCATTTGAAAGCTTCATTTAAAAAGCAAAAAGGATCTGGTTCTCTTCAGAAACTTTATCCAAGAGTTGGTGCTTCTGTGAGGACAACATTTCTGCTTCAAGTGTGTGAAAAGTTATACAAGTTCTCACAAGTTGTTTCTTTTATTATCACTAAATATAGCAAGGTCTTAGATGTGTTCATGTTCATTGTAAAATAAACAACCCAAACTTGTTTTGTTTTCACAGGAAGTAGTCCTTGAAGAAGGAACAATTGCTTTCAAAAACTGGGTTAAAACAGGTACCACTGTGTACAGACAGTTTTGGATCTTTGATGTGCAAAATCCAGATGAAGTGGCGAAGAACAGTAGCAAAATCAAAGTAAAACAGAGGGGTCCTTATACATACAGGTGAGCACGTTCTTAAGAATGAGTGGTGTCCTCTCCTAATTTTTGAGTTTTCTCCCAAGGAATTTCATTGTATTGAAATGCATTTTTTTGTTGCCATCAGCTTACTGGTAGAGACTCTGAATCTATAGATTTAATAACTCTTCATGTTGCTATACATACATGGTATTCAAATGTTACCAGATATTTTATGGAAAAGAAGTATATAACTTATTTTTAACTTAAAGCTATCAAATAACTCAACCTATTCAATAACTTATGGGTGTTGTGTTTTCAAGGCGAAACACAACTACTTATGCAATATGATTAATTTATATCACACATTATTATATTCCTTATTATCTTTATAATCCATAATTGAAGTTCCTTAGAGTTTTGAATATCATAAGATTGTTCACTTTTTTATCCTCTTTAAAGCAAATTTCTGAATTAACATTTACATTCCAAATTATAAAGAAATAGCACTAGTTGTTGTAAAAGTGACGCATACTATGCCAACAAACAATTTAGGAGCTATGATGTTTTAATAGTCTTCCCTTTAGTGAAAATATCAAGAACAATTCAGGATCTTGCCAAAGAAGACAGCTTTTATAACTTCAAGGATGATAATTTTTCATATTGTAGTACCTATTAGCAAAATATTCTTTAAATATCTTATTCCTTAAAAATGTGATAGTATAGTCTATATCTATGAAATCTGTAATCCATTATCAGACCCAAGAAATAAAGTTGAAAATATATGCCTAAAAGGTATAACTTAAATAGGATGACTAAGTGTGAAAAGGAAATAATTATAAGAATTTAAGAAACTCTCTTGTCTTTGTTGCTTTGTTGTTTGAGAATAATGATTCTGTTGGGGGTGGTATTTTATTTTTATTTTTGTTTGTTTAGTAATAATGATTTTCAGCTTTAAGGATTTGTGGGTTTACAAAGAAATATAAACCTAGAAATTAAGTCTAGTTACACTCTCCTATAGACTGTGTGTGTGTGTGTGTGTGTATCCTATAGATTTCATTCCTACAACCTATAGCCCATATAGATATAGAACTTAAAGGAGATCAATTAGATACGTCCTCTTTTGCTTATCAAGGCAACAGAGAAAGCTGGGAAGAAGCAGCATTTATAGGTAAAATTTATAAACAGCAACTTATCCTTTGTATGGCAATTTCAAACTGGCCTTTATGAAGTGTGGGTCATCTTGTCTATTGAAATTCCAAACTAAAATTTCTTTAGTTTGCCTAGGATCTTTAAATAAATGGAGAAAAATCAACTGCCTTTTTAAAGGTTACTATTTTGATGATTTTCTCTATGTTAGGTGAAAGCATGCCCGGCCATTGCTGACTCTCTGATTCCATTTTAAATTGAGGCTGTAGAAAATTATGCCTCCTAAAACAGAACCACTGGTTGATTTGGTTAATGGCTGCTATAATGATGTTGATGAAGTATTGATTGACAATATAAGACATGATCAAAGAATAAAATTACCTGATTTAAGATCATAACTATATCCCAACCAACAATGAATCTAATTACTATAGTCTGTCTAGAAATTTAAATTTTACCTTTACTTTGGCAACAATACTAATGAATGCATTAAGTAGACATCTATGGTAACTTATTTTCCTTGATCTTATTAACCAATGCATTCCAAACTTCCTTTAAGAAAAAAAATAGTGATTGATTACTTTCTTTCAATTTTCTAGACCATGTTTTATTGATATTTCTTTTACTCGGTGCCATCTACTGGTTTGAGGTTGTATGTGCCATTTAAAGGACAAATGTATCTGTATTATTTAGCTTTTGCTTCACTTCATAACTGCATCATAGTTTTGGATATTGCTGTAGCCTTCTTGCATAACTATTAATAGGTACCTTAATTTTAAAATACTTTATGAGAAAGGCATTACTAGGAATTTAGTGTCTTAGATTGTTTGAAATTTTCTTAGGTTACTTAGATATCATCTCACTTAACAGGAATAAACAATAAAGTTTTGTGCAGCATCTATTAATATTTTGCTCCTGTTTTTATTTAAAGCATGTTTTGAAATAGTATAACCATTAACTTGCTTATTCATGGAGAAGTGAGAGTCAGGTGTGGTTCTCGACCTTTGTAATTACAGTACTTGGGAGGTTGGCACATAGCAAGTTTGTGACCAATGTGGCCTACATAATTCAAATCCAGTCTGAACTAAAACATGAAAATAGTAAGAAAATACTGAAAATACCACACACTCATCATGTGCACAGGGATCAATAATCTGTATTCCACAGGGATTCATGTTTCATATCAAACTTGTAGGCTCATGATTTTTTCGGTCTGCACAATAGTTATAATTGAGCTCATATATTTGTCATATTTGTCATTCAGGTATAGAAGAGTGTGATGAGTGGCGTTTACCTTATTTCATTTCAATGAATAACTTGTACCAACAAAATGTTTTCCAATAAAACAATCATTTTTTAACAGATTCATGAAAAGTATTGTAAGTGTTGAGCCAAAAGATTAAAAATACGAACTCAAGAGATAAAATGAAGGAATAGAGTTAGCTCTGGACCTCTTTAAATAGGAAATTAGTCTCTGTGGCTTAATATAGGTTTTATTAATGAACATACATCAGGAATGCTAGATAGACAAAACACTATGAGATGCCTTTCTAACAGGTAAAATACACTTTCTCACCTTCCATACTGAAAGATAAAGATCATTATGTAATTATACAGCCCTTTTATGTTTAAAAATCTCACTTTGTGCCTTTTATTCCTATCAACTGTTTTCCTTTATAATTAAACAACACACAAATGTGAATTTTTCAAACCACATCATCATTATCTTCAGTATTATGTAATTGCTACTTTTGGTCCTTCTTCAATACATTTCTATTAACTTGAACCATCATGTAGACTTGCTACTGAAATCATTCTTCAATCTGTTCCACTTTGACATCCAAGCCCAGCATCTGTCCTAACTCTCTTAGTCCTATTCCACTTTTGTATTCCCAGGTCTGAGACCATTTCTCACTAGACTGTAAGAGATGTAGCAATAGCTAGTTATTTACCATTGCAATTCTGTAAGTCAGTGTAAATTGTGAATGTCCCTGGGTTGAAATAGTGTTTGTTGAATGAATGGAGACATTTGATATCTAATGGTTATATAAGACATTGATTTTCCCCTCATTTTGTTGACATCATTTTATTTCAGAGTTCGTTATCTAGCCAAGGAGAATATAACTCAGGATGTGGAGGACAGCACTGTCTCTTTTGTACAGCCCAATGGAGCAATCTTTGAGCCTTCACTGTCTGTTGGAACGGAGAATGACACCTTCACAGTTCTCAATCTGGCTGTGGCAGTGAGTAGATAACAGCTTCTGTGTGGAACAGTTCAGAACCTCTCACAATTAAGCTCATAATTACCCCCATCATTTGGCTTCAATTACTTCACCACCTATGAAAAGGATGTGTTTATGTTACTTTGGCATCTAGAAACATGACACAATCATGATAATCAATTGACCCAAGCATCACTATACATAGCTCTTAATTTTAATGTCTTCCTGTAGCTACAAATGATTCTAAAAAAAAATGTAATCAGGAAGAGATTAGAAAAAAAGACACAAATTACAATTTTATTAAGACAGTATTTGGCAGAATTTGAAGGTTTAGTTTGATTTTAATTAAAGTCAAATGTTATCTTTAATCCATTGTTTTCTCAGATAGCAATTTTTTTTTTTTGTAGGCTGCACCACATATATACACAAACTCCTTTGTTCAAGTTGTGCTCAATTCACTTATCAAAAAGTCCAAATCTTCAATGTTCCAAACAAGAACCTTGAGAGAGCTGTTGTGGGGTTACAAGGATCCATTCTTGAGTTTGGTTCCATACCCTATTTCTACCACAGTTGGTGTCTTTTACCCTGTAAGTACCAAATATAAATTACTACATTTTTATATTTTAATTATGCAAATAAAATGTCATTGGGAAAAATTTGTAGTTTTACATATTAGTCTTATTAGTTAATCTAAGGACATATAATTCATTATGTTTAAATTCTGAATCTTACATGCCCTAAATTTTGATAATAAAAAAATTACTTAATGAATTTGACTAAGCTCATCTTAATTTAAAAGTTCATCAAATTTTGATTCTCATAGATAATTGAAAATTCATTTATAAATCTGTAAGTCCTTTGCACATTGTATTTAATTTTAATTTTAAAGAATCAAATTTAATGTTATATTTTTAAATCAAACATACTGATCATCTCCATCCTCATTTTCTAGACCATTAAATTTTTAAAGTATGAATGAAAAAGCTACCATGAATTTCTACTTGAGATACTCAGCAGGCTTCACTTACTGAGGGTTGTGATTTGATTTCACAGAATAGCTGTTTGGTGATTAATAAGGTGTAGAACTCCTGCTGTACATAGTTACAGCTCTACATTTTAATTACAGATGGGATGAAATGGCCAAACCAAATCTCTGCTTTGACTTTTATAACATTGGACCCTGTATAGGAATATTACTTATGTTTTCCATCTCTATATTGTTAGTGTTTCAGATTGTATAGTTATATACAATTGGGAAGCCTGAAGGAATTATAGTTAGCTTTATCTGAACCAAATTATCATAACTCTTTATTTGGCTAAAGGAATTTTTAGTTTTGTTTGTATATCTTTTATTTTAGTAAGTGCTATTAACAATTTGAAAATGTAGAATACCTTTAGAAATCTGTTATTATCCTCATAAGTTTAAACCAGTGTGTCCTCACCTAAACACAATAGGAACAGTGAAGAACATTGCCTCCGGTTAATGCATAGCATGCTCAAGGTGTGGCCACCATGCTCTGTTAGTGATTTTCTTACGTTTTGTCTTAGCAGCTAGCAGCTATTTCCAAGCAAATTTTTACACCATTAAAATACTGAATGATATAAAATGATTGTGAATGGCCCCTATTTGAATAGTGTGAAAGTAAGTTAGTTGCATGTTATAACACAGTACACGGTTTGATATATGAGTAACTTTTTGTTTATATTTTCCAGTACAATGATACTGTAGATGGAGTTTATAAAGTTTTCAATGGAAAGGATAACATTAGCAAAGTTGCCATAATTGATTCCTATAAAGGAAAAAAGTAAGTAACTACGTGTTTTTTGTTATGTGTGCTTGTGTGTGTTTGTGTGTGTGTGTGTGTGTGTGTGTGTGTGTGTGTGTGTGTGTAAGAGAAAGAGAGAAAGAGAGAGACAGACTATGCTAGCTGTACTTCAGCAGTAGAAAACACTAGTTTTTTTCTCACTCAAAACTGGTGATGATGATACATGATGATTTAATTCTATTATTTATCATGTCTATATATAAAAATATATCAATAGGATTAGTTAGTAAAAGATAAGTAAGTTGTCACATTCTAATACCAGTACCTGATAATGCTAAAATGGGGAAAATGTAAAACCTACAAAAAGTGCGATGGGGAAAAGGTAAATATTAAATATTTACATATTTTGAACTATCCAAACACTGCTATTCTGTTTTCTTCCTTTTTTCTCTCAGAGTGAGATTATGTCGGGAATTCCTTCAATATTTCCATTCTATCAGTGTGCACACTGAACAAACTACCACACAATGCATTTCTGCCAAGGAAATAAATTCCTGAGTAGAGAATTACATTCCTCTCGTTTTCTTCCAGAACTGTGTCTATCCTAGTGGTTCTAATGAACTTGGCATTTAGTGTCTTGTGTTTTATGATCTGTCCTGTTAAGGTTCCCAGTACTTCCTTTATTGCAGTAAGATTAGAGGATCAAACAACCATGGATTGGATGATGTGGATTGTTTATTAAATCCTACCTGTCATCAGCTCTATTCTTCATTATGTTGATAAAAGTAGTGTTTCTGAGTAGAAAGTATGATGTGAATATGGTGTTCTTGAAACAAGAGTATTTGTTTCATCTTATTTCTTTTATTCTTAAGGAATTTGTCCTATTGGCCAAGTTATTGTGACATGATTAATGGCACAGGTAAGAATATTTGTTGTAATAACCACAATGAGAAAAATCTCACCTTTTCCCACAAGTCAAGCTACTTCTTAGCAAAAGGGATTCTGAAGTTTGAAGAGCTGTGCTTACCAGTTGGTATAATTGCGCATATTTATTTTCAGGTAGGACCAGGTAGGACCTTAAGGTGGCAGGGCTTTTTAGATTACCCACAGAAGATCAGACTTGTTTTGTTGACAGAAAAGTTCTGCTTTGTGAAAATATCCAACAGCCAATGTTTTCTCAATATTAAATTGATAACTTAGATGTGAAAAGATATAGTTTCAAATAGGAAAACTTATCCCCAAGTGAGATGAAGAGCAGAAATGGAGGCAGCGAGATTATAGAACAGAAGCAACTTATTTTGGACAAGTTGGTCAGAATGGGTGAAAAGCAAAAAATAAAATAAGATTAGACGTTTACTACCAGTGAAAAATATATGCTTAAATATGTTCTCTAAATTAGTCCTGAGATGCAAAGAAACAGCTGGAGTCTTTGATTTAAGACATGGTTACTTTGAGACTGTTATCATCCTCAAAGAAAATCACAGTGCACACTGCCCATCTGTGTAAAAACTATGATTGTACAACACAATGGAAATCAAACATCATGAAGTAATTTAAGTCAAAGATAAGCTTTAAATTACTGAGAAGCATATGTATAATGTTTACAAAGTAGATGAGGAAATACTCAATACGGAAAGCACATAATGAAGATAATGAAAGTTAAATAGAAAGGGAAGCACATGGGCGCTGTTTACCCTCTCAAAGGCATGATTAAGATTTGCAGGTTTATTTAATTTTCTTCTGTCTCATAGGGTGGAAAAGCTCAAGCAAAGGTATTAATGTCTTCCAAGGGTGTGTCTTCAAATAAATTTTCAAGTATTTCAACATTTTCATAGTTACATAAGCCTAGTAATCCTTAGACAAAGAGAAATGTTCTATGCTGTTTCTAAACAGTGAGGAATGCCTTGTGTATAAGGAAAAAATCATTAAGAATTCTGTTTGAAGTTAAACTTGGTTTAACTAAAGAAGGCACAGCTTTGGGAATTTATTAGTGACAATGACAGGAACATCAGCCACGAAGCAGAGAATGTAGAGGCAGACTAAAGAAGTAAAAATAAGTAGAAGTAGATGTTAGTAGATATGAAAATATTCCTGTGACCAGAATGGAGAAAATGGCCACTGAAACAAAGGTGCCAGCATGTGACTATTATAATCTAAAGGTGCATCTTCATGCAGTTTGAAACACATCTGCTGAAAGGATGGATACACATGAGAATGCTTTTGTCCAGCAAAGTAAATGCAGAAATGGGATTATCCTTTGCTTAGTAGACAGTTTGATACCCAAATATAAGAACCTGAGTTAGATCCTCAGAAACCTTGATGAAACAAACAAACAAACAAAAACACTGGCAATGGTGAAGTGTATTTGTAATTCTATAGCTATGTAGGCTGACATGGGTAGATCCCTAGAACTCATTGGCTGGCCTACCCAGCCTATTCAGTAAGTTTCAGGGCCAAGTAAGAGACACCGTGGTTCAAAAATGAAGATGGACCTCTGCCAAAATATCACAAAAATGTTTCCTATGTTTTCTCTAAGCCACTTACTAATATTCTTTTCTGCTAAAATCTCTTGAGCAAGGAAGGCTCTACAGTTCAAATCATCCTTTGCATGGTCTTCCTTGCTTAACCTGTTAAGCCCTGCTTAAAGCATACAACTGCTTTTCTAGGCCAAAGTCCCAAAGTCCACATTCCACCAAAAAGCAGCAGCATCAGGTGTGTCAAAGAAATACCAACTTCCTGACACCCACTTCTGTCTTAGTGTTTGTTCTATTTCTGTGAATAGAACCAGGACCATAGCAAGTCTTACATTTAGATAGGGCTGGCCAAACGTTTCACAGGTTTAGTCCAGTGTTATCAGGAAGGGGAGCATGAGTGCATGCTGGCATACACAGTGCTGAAAAAATATGAATTATACATCCTAAACTACAGGGAGCAGGAAGAATAAGACCCGGGGTCTGGTTTGTGTTCTTGAAACCTGAAAACCTACCCTCAGTGACATACTTCATCCAATGAGGCCACAACTACTCCAACAAGGCCCTGTCTCCTAAGTAGAGCCACTCCCTGATGACTAGATATTCAAATGTGAGCATAATGGGGCCTTTTTGTTTCTTTGTTTGTTTTATTATTTTTTTGTTTGTTTGTTTGCTTGCTTGTTGGCTGGCTTGAAATAGGGTTTTTCTGTGTAGCCTTGCCTGTCCTAGAACTCACTCTTTAAACCAGACTAGCCTTGAACTCACCGTGATCTGCCTGTGAATGCTGGGATATAAGGCATGTTCCATGATTACCCAGGTATGGGGCCATTCTTACTCAAAACATCACAGTCCCTACTGAAATGCTCATGGGCCAATAAGATCTAGGCAACTCTTCAATGAAATTTACCTCTCAAGTCATTCAAGGCTACATCAAATTGATAAAGATAGCTAGGGTAACTATCATGATTGAAATATGCTTTATTTTACAATGAACAGTATTTGATTATATGTTGAAAACAATAACTTGTATATACTTGAATACATGAAATATACCACTTTTTTATTTTCCAAAAGTGACTATTTTACTGGTAAATTTAAAATAATATACACAATTCATGTTTTATTTACTGACTACACTGGAAAGATAGATTACTAGATTTTTTTTCTCATGTTTACATTACACAATAACCATTGTCACTGGCTTGAACTTTAACAGATGCAGCCTCTTTCCCACCTTTTGTTGAGAAGTCTAGGACATTGCGGTTTTTTTCCTCTGATATTTGCAGGTAAGTTTCTGGAATGTAAACATTAGACCTTTTTCCATTCATGTCTTAAAACAAAGATTAGAAAGCCTAATTATTTACAATATTTTGGCATGAGGGAGCAGGAAAATTGAGTCAGGGAAAGAATTGAGGAGAGCAAGAAAATAGATACCATAATAGAGGGAGCCATTATAGGCTTTAAGAGAAATCTAGCACTATGGAAATGTCTAGAGAGCTACAAGGATGATCCTAACAATCTAAGCAATAATGGAAAGGCTACCTTAAATGATCTTCCCTGATAATGAGATTGATGACTGCCTTATATGCCATCCTAGAGCTTTTATTCAGTAGCTGATAGAAGCAGAAACAGACACTCACAGCTAAACACTGAGCTAAACTCCTGGAATCCAGTTGCAGAGAGGGAGGAGTGATGAGGAAAGTAGTCAAGACCAGGCTGGAGAAACCCACAGAAACAGCTGACTTGAACAAGGGGGAGCTCATGGACCTCAGTCTGATAGATGGGAAACCAGCATAAAACTGACCCAGAACCCTTAAATGTGGTAGTCCATGAGGCCTCTGGTAATGGATCAGTATTTACCCTTAGTATATGAATGGAGATGAGGAACCCATTCCACATAGAGAGATATTCCCTCAGCCTAGACACATTGGGGAGGGCCTAGGCCCTGCTCCAAATGATATGACAGACTTTGAAGACTCCCCATGGAAGGCCTCACCCTCTCTGTGGAGCAGAGAGAGAAAGGAGTTAAGAACAGAGGTGGAGGGAGGGTGAGAGAACTGGGAATGATATGTAAAACAAGCTTGTTTCAAATTTAAATAAAACTTATCAAAAATTAGACAAATATTTCTCTTGCTTTCTTAAAAATTAATGTGGCAATATAGAAATAACATTTTTTATTTTTCCAAAGTAGCCTATGAAACTGAACATTTTTAGTGCAAGCCAGTTTTGTAATCATTTTTTGAATACTATTCATCATGTCTGCTGTTAAACTTTCAAAATTCAGCAATCAAAAGTATGCCTGATCTTTCTGAAGATGTCTAAAAGGAAGACACATATGTTAAAAAGCTGTGCTAATGATTCACACAGAATTGTTTTTATTTTTTAATTTTTTATTATTTTTTGCTGCTTGACATAGCATGATATTTATTTTTTTCTTAAAAATTTACAAAAATAAAATAACGTATTATAGTTTATAGATTCCCCCTTTCCCATTTACTAAGCTATTAAGTTACATTTACTATTTTTTTATGTGGGAGCAGAACTTTATTGTATTAATCTCCCCTTCCTCATCTTTCAGAAAGGGCCCTTCTTAGAATTTGCATGGCAAATATTTAAGTTGGTTGGTTTTATAATATACCTGTGAGTATCAAACTCTACCAGATACTCCATAACCTCAGTCCTATCACTGAAGGCAATGAGACTAGGCAATCTTTAAACACCTCAGAATAATTGCCGTATGTATAAAACTTCTGCTAACAATACTGTGTCACGTAGAATTAGCAAGATATACAGAAAATATTAAAAAAAACTGTGACACAGTGAACTGGGCATGGAAGGCATGGGATAAATGGTAAAGATCTGGTCCATGCACACACCCCACCTGAAGAGTGACTCTTTCTTTAAGCCCTTTTTGAAAGACAGAAATTTCACTTAAATGGAGCACAAAAAAACAATTTGAATAAGTTATATAAATATTTTTTGTACAGAAGAATTTAACTATGAGAATCATCTGTGACTTTTATTTCACATGACAGTACACATGTAAACTTGACCTCAAAAGAATTGTAAGAACTAAAGAATTCATATTTCATACTCATGTTTTTATTCATGATATGCTGTAAATTGTAAAAAACAACAATATCAATGGTTTTTCCTAAGAATTTAAAATTCTATCAGGAATATTTGGCTGTTTTCTAAGTTAAATCAGGAATACAACTAGATTTAAATAAATGAAGAGGATCTCCAGAGCAGGATTCAGGCTCCTAGTGTTAAGCTCTTTCTTCAAATATCCATGTAGGTCCATCTACGCTGTGTTTGAATCTGATATTGACCTTAAAGGAATCCCAGTGTACAGATTTATTCTTCCAGCCAAGGCCTTTGCATCACCACTCCAGAATCCAGAGAATGAGTGTTTCTGCACTGAAAAGGTCATCTCGAATAACTGTACTTCATATGGTGTGCTAGACATCAGCAAATGCAAAGAGGGTATGTAGATATCCTTGTTACCAAAGTTCATGTATATTTTTATTTAATACTACTTAGGAGTTTTTTTTAATTAACTTGTAACATAGATTTAGATAGGGCTAGCAAAAATTGTATTCTGAAAAATATAGTATATTCAGAAGGACAGATATCACAAACTTTCCCGTATATTCAGGATGTAGAGTTCAATCTCCTCCTCTCCTTTGTGTGCAGTTTTGAAACTGTAATGGGGACCATAATAGGGAAGAATGAGGTGGGAAAGAGATAGTAATGGAATTCATGTGACAAGAAAGCTTACATGAGGGTGGCTAGTAACATTCAAAATTTAAAGAAAGCAATGGTAATAGAAGGTAACCTTTGGTGGCAGTGAATCCTTGGTGTTTTATGGGGTTTTTATTTATTTATTTTTGAGTAGTTCAGTATTTCAAAATTGACTTATTGGGAAAATCACATTGGTAGTATGCCATGTTTTTTGATGGTCAGGGAAAAGAGAAAATTCCCAGGATACAATGAGTTTCCTAACCATCTGTCATGGTTGTAGTTTTTGCCCTTAGAAAACAGAGAACAAAATTAAATAAGCTTTCATTATGTCCCTAAAGTAAGAAGTGAAAAGTAAAGAACTTAAATTCATTCTTGTCTTGTTTACAGTCTTTATAGTACAGTGAGAACAAAGAAAATGCTAATTACTGAGCCGTTTAGTGCTGTCATAGCAACACTTAAAGTTTGAGAACATGTATGTTGAGAATATGTGTGTTTAATGGTAAATATTTGAAATGTGGAAATTAGCATATGAAGAAATGGTATAGCTGGCTGTATAATAATAAGCAGATGTAATGCTCTTGCCTTACAATTTCAAAAACATCTATACTTTAATCTACAAAAGCTTTATCCTCTAGCAAATATTTTAAATGATTATATGAAATGTAAATAATTAATTTCTGATCGTCTCTTAATATGTGTCTTCAGGAAAACCTGTGTACATTTCCCTTCCACATTTCCTACATGCAAGTCCTGATATTTCAGAACCTATTGAAGGCTTAAATCCAAATGAAGAAGAGCACAGGACGTACTTGGATGTGGAGCCTGTAAGCCATTGTTTTATTGATCTGATTTGGTTAATATTCTTCTACAATTTATGAAAACAATTTTATCATAATTTTGGATCACATCCTTAATATCACTAAAACTGCCAATGAGGCTAGCACTTATTTCTTCCTTTTCTAATGTATAAATGGCATGAGATTCAAGTTTGGTTTCAACACATGAGATCTTATAAGGCTTTTACTGGCCTATGGATCCAGGAATTCTAATGATAAAAGTTAGTGTAATCACCTTACAATTTTATACATATCATCATCATTATCACACTTAACTGGCATTGTTATGCTTTCATGGATCAAAACATTATAAGTTTCATTCAAAATCTATAACAAGACAAATGTTGCTATAGTACTACTATTAACATTTAAATTATCTTGGTGTTCTTTTTGAAACCTTGAAGGGAGACTGGTTGCAGCTCAGTGGTCTTACATTGGCCTGACGTGCATGCTCTGAGACTACCTCTTATCTTCTAAGAACTGTGAGGGACATATTTCTGCTAAAATAATGGAAGTCAGAGTAACATAGCATTTTATTGATATGTGAACTGTAATTAAATAAATATTTGGACGAATAGTTCAGGAACTAAATTAACTATCTGAATTTGCCTTTCTTATATTGTTTTACTAATGTTGTTGATTTCTTCTAAGCCAAATTATGGGGATTTCACAATTTAAAGAAAACTTCAATGTTAGCTAGGACAAGAAAATTCTGTCATTCCATACATACATATATACATACATACATACATACATACATATATATTATGCATGTAGATCAGTGTGTGTATACAAATACATGTTGAACCTGATTGATTACATGTACTTATGCACAAAGTTAATAGACTCTAATTTCCCAGCCTTAGGAATTCTTCCCTTTTAAATTCAAAAGAACTCTCTTTGTGTCACAAATGGTAAACCCTGACTATTACAACAGAATGTTTTAGAAACTTACAATTGTTTAACTTTGCTCTTTTTAGATAACTGGATTCACTCTACAATTTGCAAAACGACTGCAGGTCAACATACTGGTCAAGCCAGCCAGAAAAATCGAGTGAGTCTCCTTACCATTGTTGTTTTCATGCAGTAGTAACATTTTCTTAAAATAATGTGGGTAGATTAGTGAAAACGGAAAGAATATATTATGGTTTTTTCATCATTATGTCATTACAGAATTATTGAATGCTTATAACACCTTTTTACTTAAAGAGTCAGATATGGTACTTATTGAAATGGCTTTTAGATATTTTAACAATGTTAGTTGAATGTTGCTGGGGACACCTCTTATGTGCATTTCATGAAATTATTAGTACTACAATAACTTCTATATCATATATTTTCCTAGATTTCAATTTATACTTATAAACCAATTATATAATTAGAAATATACATTAGATATATGAATGGAGAATCTGAAAAACAAATGTGTTAAAATTAATTCATTGAATAAAACAAAATTAAAGAACTTGAGCCATACACAAGATTAATTGAATTCTGAAATTTTGTTTATTCTAAATGTCTTTTACATATGTAGAAATATACCAATAATTAATTTTTATGTATATTATAGAGCATTAAAGAATCTGAAGAGAAATTATATTGTACCTATACTTTGGCTTAATGAGGTTAGTATTTTATTATTCATTATTAACAGTTTATGTTAAAGATTTTGGTATTTTTAAATGACATGTTTTTTAATATTTGATATAAATATGATCTTACACTTTGACATCTCTACTAGAAACAAAGCTAAATTACATAGGAATATTTAAGTTTTATTGTTTGTTTTCAATACAAATGATTTTATTTGTCACAGTACTAAACTAAGAGACATGTATACATGTAACATCACAGAGTTCAAGACTCATTGAATATAGCAGTTGTATTAAAAAGCCAATTATTCCTAAACAGGACATATTAGAATATACTGGCAATCTATAGACTGATAAACTATTTTAATGTAAACTGGTAAACTGATTAACTACAGAATTAAAGAATATTGCATAAACCCTCAAAGCAAGTACAACTGTTGACCTTTGCAATTTCTCCCTGATACCAGGGAACATTTGGAAAATTGTGAAATATCAAAGAATTCCAAAGATCTACTGAATGTTGGTACACGTCTGAGTTCTATACACATAACCAAAGTAGCTGATGTAGCTGATACTTATGCATATGTTTAAACAAAGTTATTTTGTTTCATTAATTTAATCAAATAATATTAATTGTTAACTTGATTACAGACTGGAACTATTGGTGATGAGAAAGCAGAAATGTTCAGAAATCAAGTGACTGGAAAAATAAAGATGCTTGGTCTAGTAGAAATGGTCTTGCTTGGGCTTGGAGTGGTGATGTTTGTTGCTTTTATGATTTCATACTGTGCTTGCAGATCCAAGAATAGAAAATAAGTAAGTACACTAGCAAAGTATATATTCTTTTACTATTTTCACCTTACCGAAAATGGTTGTAAATTAGGGCAAAAATATTTCTAGACATTTTTAGACAACTACAATATCTTAATATATATCATAATTTTGATGTTAGTAAATTAAATAAATAATGATTTAAATCATGATCATTATAAAGTAAGAGCAAATGTAGCTTTTCTCTAAATTTAGACATACCAATTTCTTTGTGTCAATTTTTATGAAAATTATAACTAATTTTTAAAAATTACAATTACAAAATTTTAACACATTGAAATTCGTAAGAGCAAGATAAAAAATGAAGATACAAGAATATATAGATTTTGATGAAACAGAGGTAAACAAAATAGCTTCATAAAACTTGGATGGCTGCCTATACATATTAGCCATATCTTTTCCCACTCATGGGTTAACAGCGTGACATCCTGATAATAAAAATTATTGTGTGAGAATTAAAATATAAAATTACAAGAAAATCAGTTAATTGATTAATCCAGTTAAAAGAAAAAGTAGGTTATTGTAGATGATACTTAAAGAGTTTGGCAAAATTATAGTGTTCAATGCACTGTGATATGTAATTTATTGCCCAAGTTTTCTACATAAAAATGAAAGTGCAAGTAAATTAGCCTGGCCCAAAGGTAAACTAAGACGGAAGGAAAAGTTCCCAATCTCTGCCCACCACTCCCCTCCCAAACGTAACATGAGTAGAAAATGCTTGGTTTTAAAGATCAGAAATTCCAAATAAATCACTTTATTCTACTTAAGCTAAAGATTGACTGTAAATTGTCATATGTAGAAAAATTCTGATTTTGATCTCAATAACTGATATTGAACAAATAATAATCATGTTAGACATTTAACATGAATTAACACATTATTCCTAATTGATTTGTGTGTGTGTGTGTGTGTGTGTGTGTTTGTTTCCAAAAACTTGCATTAAACGCTGTGATATATCTTCTGGTGACATTCTAAAATATTATTAAAAAGGTCAAATTGTCTACGTTGAAGTTTAGGTTAACTATATTAGTGTTTTCAAAGTTAATGTGGAGCTTAGTTACCAATATTTATTTTATGGGAAATTAAGTATTTTTATTGGAGAAAGCAACTCAATACTGTGTTCTGGATCATTTCTGCCAGTCCTTCTAAATTTTATTTGAAAACATGCATTTAAAATGCTAACCTGACATGTCCACATTGTAATAGTTAAATTAGGAGCAGGAAGGTGTCAGGGCACTTAAGAACATCATTGCTCTTCCAGAGGTCCCAGAAGGTGGCTGCAACTCCAGTTCCAGGAGGTGACTGCCCTCTCCTGGCCTCTAAAATCATTGCATGGGGTAATGAACAGATATACAAGAAGGAAAAATACTCATTGAAATCATGAAATAAAAGCAGCTTAATCTATTGAAAACATTATTTTCAACAAAAAAAAAAACATGAGAAAAATAAATACTCCCCACTAGAAGTCAAAATACCTTAATATTTCCCATTAGCCCAACAGCAAGTCATGATGTATATTCATATGTCTATGACAGTTTAAAAAGACTATCCACTAAAATTGATCAAATCCCTGCTCAAGTACAAAAGCATACCTATACAGTTATCATTTTCCTTAATTACATAAATAACTTCATCATTGCTTACTGATCCTGGAATATAAGTTTCCTTAGATTCATATATGACTAATTTTAAAAAGAATTAAGAGTTCTTAATGTCTTCATCACTAAGTGTCTGTTTTATTAATAATACTTTCCACTGTTATAAAGAAAGCATTTCCCCCCCACAAAAAAAAGACTTTCCTTTGCAGTGACTTGACTGTGCTAAGCATAGAATTGTGAGGGCCAGATTTGCTGGTATCATCATTTTGGAACATTCTGTAAAGTATGTGCCTGGCAAAATCTGTAGACAATCCTAAACGGAGGCAGTTGTATAAATAGAAATGGGTATAGTTTTAAACAGAATGTGGTTTACTGCATACATCATGAGGTAAATGCACCAAGCTCAGTTTGATTGTAGTGACATATGCACCTGTTTATGGAAGACAGCCTTGAGTATATTGCAATGTTTAGCAGCTGATTTAATTAGCTGCCCTCCCTGGTCTTATTATGCTCAGCTCCTGGGAGTTAGAATTCAGCTTTCAATGTATCATTCTTCAATGGGAATATGTGTCTCCTTAATGATGAAACTCTTGGAGGGTTTCTCTCTTTAGCTTGAGATTTGGTTTGTATAATTGAAAGCATCATATCTTGGAAATGTAGGAGAAGAATATTAAAGCTATTCATTATCCCAATGCTTTCTGATTGGTAATGTTTCTTCTTGTTTACAGGTAATAAATGAGACTACATTTAAGCACCGGATACATAAAGATTTTTGATAAAAGACAATCTACAAATGAATACTTAATATATGCTTTGATTTTACAAAAGACACCTATCTTTAGTTAAAGAAATGATGGTGCGTGCTCTCTCTCTCGCTCCTTCTCTTCCTATATATATATATTTATATGAGTGTATATATATATATATATATATATATTCACTAAGCCAAAGCATATTTCAAAAGGATTAATGTGACACTATAGCCTATATTTTTCATAAAATCCAGTACTTTGTAAAGTCCATGATTTATAACCCTGAGTGGACTTCAGTTTCTATAAAACCAATTTTTTGTTTGGTTCTGATTTATTGTTGCACTCCATGATGGCAAATTTCAAAAGTGTACATTCTAAGCAATTTTTCTTTTCCTTTTTTGAGGTGAGGGTGTCACCTTCATATACAGCAAATGTACCTTGGGACTGTCAACATAAAATATATCATAAGCATGAAATATTTGGAAAGATATTTAAGAATGGAAAATGAACAACAGGCATATGAGTCATTAACAATATATTGTTTTTCTCTTTCATGCTAGAGTCCTTGGTGCAACTAGGTCAGATATCACAGTGATTTTTTTTTTTACTTCCTAACACTGAGCTCATACATTTTGTCTCTTGCCATAAAATGTACACTTTTTTTGCACACTTTTGCTCTTCTTAAATAAAGTTATCGTATTAGGTCCTGCATAGCTCTTTCAAAAACTGAGTAGGTTTTCCTCTTTCTGCTCTGCTAAACTAATGCAACCTTAGAGAGTTGTTATAGTATGGAGATGTAAATGATAATAAAGGAATTACTTTAAGGAATATTATAAAAACTAGAATGTACCTACAATGTATTTGTGGTAATATCTTCTGCTTTCATAGTTACAAAAGAAATGACTGGTTTCTAATATTAAAAGATGTTGCTCTTTATATATAAATGTTCTTTATAGTTCCTATATCATCACAAAATGTCATTTTTCTGTGGAAGTATTCTATCTGAAGCCATATAACTTTCTGAATTTTTTTACCACTCTGCTATGTCTTAGAAAAGACACTTTGGTTTTGTTTTTATAGCAATACTGTGAGACTAGAGGATAATTTCTTTATTATAATAATTATTATTATTATTTTACATATTGATCCCAGTTCCCTCTCCCTCCCATTCTTCCATGCTCCCCCACAACATTCCTCCCATCCCATTCCCTACCAACTCCCCAGGGAAGGTAAGTCCTCCCAAGAGGGATCATCAAAAAAATCTGTCATGTAATTTGGGGTAGGGCCTAGGCCCTCCCTCCTGCCTCTAGGTTAGGGAAGTATCCCTCCATGGGGAATGTGCTCCCAAAGTCCTTTCGTGCACCAGGAATACATCCTGTTTCCACGGTCAGATGTCCCTTAGACTGCCCAGGACTTCTAACTGAGACCCACATGCAGGGTGTCTGGGTGGGTCCAATGCTGGTTTCCAAGCTATCAGTCTTAGGGTTCATGAATTTCCCCCTTGTTCCAGCTTCTTTGTGGGTTTCTGTAGCCTGGTATTGACTCCTTTGCTTATCACTCTTATCACTCTCTGCATCTGAATTCCAGTTCAGCTCAGTGTTTAGCTATGGGTGTCTGCTTCTATTTCCATTAGCTACTGGATGAGGGCTCTAGGGTGGCATATAAGGTAGAAATTAGAGGCTAATTCCTTTCCAGTCGGAGACACATCAATAGGTTATTCTGCTTTCTTTAGCATAATGGCCTGTTGTAAAAAAAAAAAAATTAGTGCCAGCAAACTCTAAATAGAAGAGAAAATAGAAACATCCAGTTTGTTTTATGTATTGAAAGATAAAAGGAACAGAGGCAACTTTTCTGTCTAGATATAAAAATAACCAAGAGTAACACTACAGCTTGGGGAAGCAGTGTTGCATCAGTGCTTAAGAAGCACAGTATGTTCCCCCAGAAGACCTGGGTTCAATTCCCAGCACCCACATGTCTGTTAACAACTTTAAAGAGCTCCTGTTACAGTGGATGCAGTGCTCTCTTCTCTCCTCTGCAAACTCCTGCATGCACATAGTGAACATATATACACTCAGGCATACACATACACATGGATTTGAAAAAGAGCCATGAGAGGATTTTAAGGGAGAAAGGAAAAATGGAGAAATGATGTAATTATACTATAAAATCAAAAATAAAAGAAACAATTTAAATAAATGGTAAAATATAAAGATGTTTTTAAAATAAAACATCTAGATGCAAATTTCATTTTAATTTTTAAAATTCTATCAAAACCCTCAAGTTAAGTTAGCACCACCTAGGATGGGTATTTCAGATATCTGAGGATACTCAAAGCACAAAGTCTAGTGTCTCTTTTTTTTTTAATCTGGGATGACAATAATCAATCTTAAGATATTGACAGAAGGGCCTTCATGAGAGTACAGAAACAAGATGCGACATCACGCCACATAACTGCAGGGTTAATGGGGTGATGCCCATATTTCTCTGGGAAGGGAAATAGAAGAGATTTTGTGAGTGGACTGAGAGAAGATGGGGGTGGGAACATGAACAATCAGATTGGGGGAGGAGCAGAGAGGGGGAGTACTGAAAAAGAATACTGGAAAGATGGGATCATTCCAGGGTCAAGTTAAAAACCTGGTACAAGGGACTGTCCCATGAATCTACAAAGATGAACCCAGCAAAGACACCTAGCAAAAGCAGATACATAGCCTGAACTGACCATCTCCTGTGACCAGATTTGTGGCTAGACCAATTGTCTTCAGAAAGGCTTCATCCTGCAAATGACAGAAACATGCAGACCCATAGTCAAACATTAGGGTATGCTCCAGGAATCACACAGAAGAGAGAGGAAGGATTGTGGGAACCAGGGGTATCAAGGACACCACAAGAAAACTCACAGAATCGACCTGGGCTGATAGGGCTCAAAAAGACTGAACTGAAAACTCGGGAACCTGAATGGGACTCACCTAGGCATTCTGTATATATTTTACAGTTGTGTAGCTTGCTCTTTTTATGGGACTCTTAACAATGGGAACAGGGTCTATGTCCAACTCTTTTACTGGTTTTTGGGCCCATACTCCTCATACTGGGTCACCTCCCCCAGCCTCAATACTTGGGGAGGTGTTTAGTCCTGCTTTAATTTGATATCCCATGCCTTGTTGAGATTCATGGAGTGTCAGAAATGGAGGAGGAGTGGACCAGGGGTGGGTGGGAAGAGGTGAGATGTTTAGGAAGGAGAGGAAACTACAAACAGGATGTAAAAAGTTAATGATTTATTAAAAAAAAAGAAAAAAGATGCATCGAAAAGAAAAGGAAGAAGAATTCATAGGACCCACATTGCTTTATCTTCAAACTCAGTGATTACAGCCTGGACAGGCAGAATTTTAGTCTGGGGGATAAGAGAACATAAGCTTTAGACTTTTCTGTACATCCTAACATTGGGACAATCCTGCCTGACTCCTGGGTTCTTGAGCTGATACAGTCTCCAAGAATAATCAGTGGCCAGTCGGGCACCTAAATCCATCAGGGTGAACTCATCTACAGCCAGTATCAATTCTATAAAACTACAATAGCTTTAGCTTCAGGAGAGACTGAGGAATTGGGTTATTTCCATAGCTGTGAAATTTAGATATGTTTCAGTGTGCACTCATCAGTGGTCACAAAGGTCCTCTCTGCAGTTTTATGGACCTGGGCCATCTAAAAACATTGAATTGGGCAAAGAAGCTCAAATATAGGTAGTCAACCTGGCACTGATTCTTGAGATAGCATTTAATAACATTTTAATAAAAAGTAGTCTATAAATAACAGAAAAAGTGCTTCCTTGGCTATATAGACATTTATGTATGGCCATAACCTTGAAACTAGTAGGAATCATAATATTGCCAAGTGTGGAAAGATGGGGACAGTGGCTTGTTAAAAATTAAAAATAACTGACCTATAGCTGTTGTAATAATTAAAAAATGTAGAGAAACAATTGAAGTCAGTACAAAAAAAAACTATGTGAATAGACAAAATTTGTTAGAGATTGAAATGACAACAACATTGTAAAATTCTTGGAGGTGAAAAATAGAAAGAAAATATTAAAATTTTCAGTAAAATAAATCAAGATGAGATGTGCTAAGGCTTAAAAAAATTGTAAAATTTCAGTGACAAGTTATTAGAAAATATAAAACTCATACACCAAAGGGTTATACTTCCGTGAATCAAAAATATGACAGGAAACCTAGTATTTCTATTGAAATTATGCAGATTTTTATTGTTATACCCTAAACAATACAATATCTTATATATATCTTATATAATATCTTATATAATCAATATCTTATTGATTATATCAATATCTTATATAATAAATAATCTGAAAGTACCTTACAATCTATGAAAAGAGATTACTAGGTTATGGGCAGATGATATGCAATTTTATATAAGGGATTTGATCATCTACAAATTTTGTATCAGAGGAAAGTCTCAGAATCTATAAACTTATATGTGAAAAACTGTATAATCTGATTATCAAAGCAATAATAATGAAAAGGCATAAAGGAAATGCAGTTATTTAAGGTAAAACAAAATAGATGTTTAAGTTAAATTTTAAAAAGAGAGAGAGAATTAAAGGGATGGTACACTTGCTTAAAGAAAGAGGAAAACATGTGGGACTAGGAAGACTGAGTCAGGGGAGGAATAGACAAGAGAAAGAGAGAGAGAATAAAAGAGGGAACCATTATAGGTTTGAAGAGAAAACTGACTCTAGAGAAATGTCCAGAGACCTACAAGACTGACCCGAACTAGCAATTTGAACAACCATGGAAAGGTTACCATAAATGCCCTTCTCTGATAATGAGATCAATGACTAACTTAACCACCATCATGGAGCTCTCATCTAGTAGCTGATGCAAACAGAAGCAGACACCCACAGCTAAACACTGAGCTGAACTGGAATCCAGACACAGAGAGGGAGGACAAGACCAGGCTACAGAAACCCACAAAGACAGCTTACCTGAGCAAGGGGGAGCTCATGGACCCCCCAGACTGATAGCTAGGAAACCAGAATTGTACTGACTCAGACCCCCTGAACATGGGTTAGAAGTCCTAGGCAGTCTAAAGGACCTCTGACAGTGGTGCCAGAATGTATCCCTGGTGCACAAAAGGACTTTGGGAGCACATTCCCCATGGAGGGATACTCCCTTAACCTAGAGGCAGGAGAGAGGGCCTAGTACCTACTCCAAATGACCTGACAGATTTTGTTGATCCCTCTCAGGACTGCATCACACACCCTGTGGAGTGGTGGGAAGTGGGGTGGGAAGGGAGGGTGGTGGTGGGGGGCATGGGAGGGACGGAGAGGAGGGAGAGAGGGAGAGGAAACTGGGATCAATATGTAAAATAAATAAAAAAGAAAGGAAGAAAGAAAGAAAGAGTGCCATAATACATTTTAAACTCCTTAAGCCTGGGAAGCAGGCAGGCTAGCCTTAGATCTTCACCTCTTCTTTACTCCTTCAAGTCCAATCCCCAGTCCCATCCCTCAGTCTGTAACAGGCCTTCTAGTTAACTCTTTCTGCCCTCATTCTGAGAGCACTAGACACCCTGTTTTGCTCCAACTTGTGGCCACCCTCAAAGCCAAACCTCGTAGTCATTCCCCATCCTAAGTGTCAGCTACCAATACCTAGAAACACATTTTACATGGACTCCCCAGAGATCGCCCCATCAGGATCCCAGAAAAATTTTCTACCAACCAATATACAGCCATCAAGTTTTTCTAAGAATCAGAGAGAGCAACATAAACCAAGAAATAAAGCACGCATCCAACAAGAACAAGACAAAATAGCTGCACCTAGAATTACAATCTCCCCAAGCCAAGATGCCTAGATATCATGCAAAAACATAATCAGTAACAACCAGGATAATATTTCTCCACTGGAGTCCAACAACCCTACCACAAAAGGTCCTA